GGGCCATGGGGGGGAAGGGATAGGTTAGGTGGGGGAGGGATTACGGCCTAGACACTGTCAATAACCTAAATACTGCCTAGACTGTTGATAACCACAAAAACTTCCAAAACTGTCAAAACCGTCAATACCTCTACCTGGCCACTTGGACCCTCCCATCTGTCAGTCTCGCCAGAATGTACTAGTCTGTGGGGGTACCATGGTCGAGCCTGGGTACAGCTAGCATGTGTCCCGCCGATATGGCACCCATACAAGAGTGTACACAGAGCGAACTTAGACTACAGTAGGGCCAATCTCGGGGGGGGAATCCTGCCCACACACTGGGTGTTAGTATGGCCACACCAATGAAGTAATACAAGATTAGCCAGCGCAGCTCCGCCCGCGGCCAAAAGGGTCAGGCGAAGTAATTTCATTCAGTGGATATGAGAGGTGCGAGCAGCTGACAGTAGAGAGTAGGTGAGCCTAGAGATTGCAGTACAGCGAGAGAAGAGTAGACCCAGCAGAGAATACAGTGGAATACAGAGCAGAGTACAATACAGAGAGCAGAGGCTGCAGAGTAGAGTAGAGTTAGATGTAGAATATAGAGTATTGCAGGTTACACCGCACACAGAACTGTCGAGTTGAATTGGAACTCCAGAGCAGCATCGCCTACAGAACAGGGTCGTGACCCGCCGAGGGTGGAGTAGACAGCAGCATAAGGTGAGACGTGGCCACAGCGAGAAAATCAAGACGGATGACGAGCTACGAAGAGAAAGACGGGGACTGGCAATCCAGGGGCTGTATTTTTTCATTTGATTCCGGGGGGCACAGGCCTGACCACAGTACTCACCAAATTCACATAAGAAGAAAGATATGGCAGTGCATTGTCGGACCTTGTAGCTGAATTTTCCCATTTTTCGTGAGTTGTGCAGAAAGGGTCATACCTGCGGTCATAAATCCGGACAGAAGCATCCAGCTGGGGCCTAAAAAAACAGGGCAGACGTGTCCACGGAAGTCGACAGGGGACCTTTGTAGTTAGCTGCAGATGGAATCGGAGTCACATCGATGCAGTGTAGTCTGTAATAGAAGGCAGATAAGGCCAGGAAACTGCTTCAGCTGAGTATGTCGTGACGCCTCGGCTCATGCCCTAATGTGCGGGCGTTTTGTTTTCGTTGTTTTTCCCCGCCCAATAATATGAAGGGAAGCAGCGGTGAACCATCATCATTCAAAATTGACCCTGTCGGAATTGCAGCCGATTTTGACCCGTTAGAGTCATCGGCAGATGAGTTGTTACACCAGGAAACAGTGCTAAAAACCCGGTAGGACCGTGGGGTCCTCCCCCACCGGAACCGGACCGGTCCTACCGGCCGGTCGACCGGGCCGGTTCCCCCCCGGTTGGCTGTAGCGCATCCATGGTGTTGTTGAGGCCAAGGACTAGACCCACAGTGATTGCTGGCAGCGGCAGCCGGTTGTTGTCCTGACAGGATAGGCCACCTTCCCTACCCTTCCCCACGTTAATGCTCCCAGCGCACCCCCTATCCCTACTATCCTACCTCAGTGTCAGGACCATCGCCCTACCAGTATCGAGGGCAGTCACCAGACAGCAGTGACAAGCACCCCCTAAACCCCCACCCTTCTTTTCAAAGTTTTTGGGTGGGAAGCACCGTCCCTACCCTGCCACTAACACCCCAGTGTGACCAGCACTCAGGACCATCACCCTACCAGTATCGAGGGCAACTTGGACGAAGCACCCCCTAACACTACAACCCCTACCCCCCTTTTCAAAGTTTTTGGGTGGGAAGTACCGTCCCTACCCTGCCACTAACACCCCCACGCCCCTCTTCAAAGTTCTTGGGCAGAACGTCAACGTTTGCAGAAAGCCAGGTATGTTGTTGTCAATGTCTGCTGAAGCCCGTGCTTGAACTCCACCACTAACACCCTCACCATAAACCCCCCAACGCCCGACCCTCAACCCCTGAAATACCCCCTCCCCAACCCCCCAACCCCCCAAACGAAACTTCTCTGTTCAAAGTTTTCTTTGCGGATTCGGGGAGATCTCAGTGAGCGCAGTCCAACCATGTTTTCAAAAAAAAAAAAAAAAAAAAAAATTGACCCACTTTTGGACCCAACCGGAATTCCGGTTGGACCACCGGGGGTCCAACCGGCCAGTTGTCGGCACAGCCATGCCAGGAAACCTAATTTCTATTTTTTACTGTCAGAGTGATTGGTCTGTCGTCGGGTCAAAGGGTTACGGTATAGCAACATGAATATATTTCACAACAGGATTATGTTTTGAATATTAGAGAAGAGCAGCGGGAAAGAGGTGCATGGAATGCAGTGGCGAGGGAAAAGAAATGGGAATAGAATGAATCGTAAGAGTAAAACAGTCCAGGAACACAAAGGACCTTTGTCATAGATACGGGAACATTTTTTTTTCGCAAGGGGGAAAGTAATATGCGAATTTGTGGAAGGTGAAAGCCTTCCGAGCACGAGAGGAAGTTGTATGGACGCTTGTTGAGGCTTACATGGCGGGATGACGGTTTGTAACAATTGGAGGGCGAGGAGGTGTAGCAATGTGATCGAAAAATGAAGTTAACAAACACATAGGAGGAATGCAGTACTCAGAAAGGTGTTTGTATCCAATTGGATCGGAGAAGGGAGCTATTCACAATGTGTTCGCTCTCTTTCCCTCTACTCTGACTCTCTGCAGGTATGTTTGTATATGTATATATAAATCGTTTATATTTATAGAAGCCATTAATTGTATAGTGGAGGCAGACACAGTGAGGTCTATGGCAGGAGTCAGCCGAGGTAGAACCGATGGTTCGGTTGTCGAGGGCAGACAGTGTTGCTGCACAAGGTGACATTGTTGTGGGATTGCAGGAGTACTTGCTCTCTAGTTTACCTGAAGAGCTGCAGCTGTTTCAAAAGCAACACCAGGACTCTCGCCCTCACTGCTTTTCAGGAAACTAGTGAGTCTGTCATATGTCTTGCGCCAGACCTGCCACATAGCCGAGTGCATGATTAAGAACACAATGCAGAAAAAAGAGGACGCAAACAGCCAAAAACATAAAAACCATTGAGACGAGAAGTCCACAGGCCGCAAATCATCACACCAAACATAAAGAAGGCATAAATAGCCTTCTCTCACCAACGGAAATGCACTTCATCTTGGAGAAACTGTGCTTCCTATAACAGACAAATCACCACCTTTGACCTTAAACCAGCAGTACTTTTCACAGGCAAACTTCTCAGACATGACCGTGCACGAGCTGCTTCTTCAGGATGTACCGGCCTGACGTGCGACGCCAAATTCATCCAAGGATTGCCCTGTTTTGCCTGAATGAACAATGTGCCGCTTGGCAGGCCAGTAAATCCCACGACCCAGCATGCGGCATGCTGCGTCGGAGAAATTTGGTTGGGAAAAGGGAGATAGAGGAAAATCTGTGACCCATTTCCAGCAAATTGGAGCACGATTAAACCGAAGAAGGAAAGACAGTGTAACATATCAGAAAGTGAAATGCACTGAAAGCCTAGGATCTAGCAATGACGAAAGTGGCAACAACCAGCAGCATAGGTGCAACATTCACAAGGTGTCAATGTGCGCGACGCAAAGAGTGAAACAACGGGAAATCAATAACAACACATTCGTATCATCATCATCATAGGCTGGGAAGCAGCCCAGCGGAAGATCTAGTATCAAAGGACACGTGGACAGC